TATTTTGTAATAAGATCTCTTTAAATTATTTCAACGTATATTGATATTTCGGAATTAAAATGAACTTTTCTTAAAACATGTAAAGTTGTTTGAGTTTGAAGGCCCGGAGAGTCGCCAGCATAGTGTCTTATTGACTGACAAACTTCTGCTGTTATGCTATTGGTCAAAAGGTAAGTTTCCACTGTGGTTACACTTGTAATACAAAAATATTACCATATCTCATTCTCATCAGAATTGTTATGATTGATATTCACGGTAGGTATTTTCCTGTTTACTTATAAATTGAAGTTTGCCAGCTAAAACTTATATGGCCAAGGGCATCAGTATCAAGATCCAAATTGGGTTATTTGCAACGTGCTTTATCAATACTAAAATACGCCAATATATAAAATTAATTTAACTAATCGACATTTGGTACAATCAAAAATTGGTAATTATTTTGTCTTTGGTTGAAGTTCGCCACCATTGACGAGTGACATTTGAATTGAATTAACCAATATTGACATTGACATTTCGTCCAATGTTTGTAATTTGTATTTAATTTGTTGCTTTTAGGAATAATTTGATGAATTAACAGTTTATATTAATTTTAAAATGGATATTCCAATCGAAATAGACAAACCAGATCTTGTTTGTAGAGTATGTTTGTGCAAAGGTGTAAATATGAAATTGTTAACGAGCAAAATTGAAAGCGATGATAGGACAATTGCTGAGAGTCTTTCTTTTATATTAAATCTTTACATTTCTGAAAGTGATGCGTACGCAAAACAAGTCTGTGAAGATTGTTACGCTGTTATACTTAAGTTTGATCAGTTCAAGAAGCGGTGTATTCAGTCGGAAGGATCTTTAGATGATGCTTATTATGCCGAAAGCAATGTTAACATTCCAATAAGTCAAGACAATAAATCCGCTAAAGAGGTGTCTATTACTAAGTTTTGTATGGATGAACCTTATCAGTGTAGTGTTTGTACTAAGAAGTTCTCTGATTTGCTTCTCTTAGAGTCCCATGTACTAACAGGCCACAGTTTTGCAAACGACCAACTAATGAAAGATGTAAATTTAACCGAAGCTATCACACAGGATTCTGATTATCCAACAAATACATCTCCATATGATAATAGTGTAGAAAACGACAATGACATTGAATTTAAACCTAAAGATGAGATCAATGAAGGTTTTGGATTTGCAGACAGTACTGGAGATTTGCAATGTTCAATGTTAGATTGCAACGCAAAGGATGAAGCAGAAGTAACTGAGCAAGTAAAAACTTCTAATGTATTATATAAGTGCAAGTGTGAGGCTATTTTTGACAATTGTGATCAATACAAAGAACATTTACATAAGAAAATATGTAAGGAAACTTTCAATACTGTTAGACCAACAAGGGCACGTAAGGTGAAAGAGAAAAAAAATGATGAAAAAGTGGAATATGTATGTCCAAAATGTAATGTAAAATTTATATCTGTGAAGAGATATAAAATGCATCTCCGTATGCATCAAACTGAAAACATGCATCCTGCAGATAAATTTAGTTGTTCATTTTGTTTGAGAAGATTTAATTATAAACATTCATACACTGCACATATGAAGACTCACAAAGTGAAAGAGGGTGTCAAATTTATTTGCAACACTTGTAAGAGAGAGTTTCAACATCAGGCCCATTTAGACAACCATATATTATCAGTTCACACAAGAGAAAAAGGTTTCAAATGTGAATATTGTGCTAAAAACTTTTCAACACAAGAAAGTCTAGACAATCACCGTGAAGCTCATAAAGTTGAAAAACGACATCAGTGTCCTATGTGTAACAAAGCTTTTTATGTGCTGTCAACATTAAAGGACCACATTCGGACACATACCGGAGAGAAACCTTTCCTGTGCTCGGATTGCGGGAAGGGCTTCAGTCAGAAGAATAATTTAACTCAGCACATGCGGCGACACCAAGGGCTAAAGCTCTTCAAGTGTGAAAATTGTGAACAAAGGTAAGTTTTTAATGTGTACATTTTTAAAACTGAACATTCACATTTAGTGGACGTATTTAAGTAATAATAATAGAAAAAAGTGATACTATCTTTTAGATATTGTTGGGTAAACATTCATAATAGTAAAAATGAAGTATTTATTTTGACAGATTTGTATCAAAAGGCGAGTTGGTAGCTCATAATCGAAAGCACAGTGGTGCACATCCCTTCGTGTGTGACGAATGTGGGAACAGCTTTACTACGTCAAGTTCTCTGAGCAAACACCGCCGCATCCATACTGGAGAGAAACCGTATGCCTGCGATCTTTGCGACATGAAGTTCACCGCATCCGGAACTTTGAAGAACCATCGACGCAGACACACCGGTGAAAAACCTTATCAATGCTCGCATTGTGAGAAAGCATTTGCCCAACGTCAAGACCTAGTGTCACATATCCGCTGCCATACAGGTGAGCGCCCCTTTGTTTGTTCAACTTGTGGTCAAGCATTCCGGAAAGCCACCGCACTCAAAGCACATCTTAAAATGCATGAAAAAGACACAATATTCCTGCAAAAAGATGTTACTTTATCAATTATACACAATGCAAATGCATTGATCACATAAATTTTGTGTAAAAGTATTAACTTTAAATGAAATTATGTATTTTAAAATAATTAAAATATATTTTGGATCGCTTTTCCCTCCAATATATAATAGATCAAAAAAGTACTTCTAATTAATTCAGCATAATGTTTTAATGTAGTATGCAACACGTAAAAATGTGAAGAAATCTAGAAAATGTATAATTTTAATTTGTTGAGTGAATCTTTGAAATCAATATATAAAAATTTTACAAATCACTATTAAAAAGTGTACATAATCAGAAATTTAAATTAAAAGAATGAATATTTCTCTGATATGTTTATTAGTAAATTTCTTCTGAATTTTGAAATAATTTGAATCCTTTTAGTTAAGTAGATTTAAAGAAATATCAGTGGTAATTTGTATTAAAATTAACTTTATCATTAATATATGAGTGTATTCACCATTTTATTAATCTATATAAGATAATTTTACTTAATAATTAAGCTGCGTAAGATAAATCATAATAAGAAATAAATATTTTCATTCAAATACATATCTAAATGTTTATATGACTATTTGCCGTTACTGTTCCTGTTGTTTGTAGATTTCTATATACATATACTGCGTAAGTATATAAAATATCTAATACATATTATGTACTATGCACATACAGCAAGTATATAGCTTCATATAGATTTGATAGTCGTTTATAAATTATCAAACTTTTTCCGATAGATCATCTGATGGTTGTGACTAAGACTGTATTTTATTTTCTTAAAACTTTATATAAATTTACTCTATTTTAAATATCTTTTTGAAGTAAATCTTCTTAAATATAAAATTGTCTTTATTAAAATTTGTGTATGTGTTATGATGACTCTATTTTGTAAATTTTACCCGCAGTTATCCAAGATATATAAAAGTGGCACCAACTTATGTACTTAATAAATAATAAACAGCGTACAAATCATAATTATATGTAAATAAGAGATAATTTAAGGTCGCAGGTTTCTATCGACATATATCTGTGTTTTATCTACCTCAACTATTTTCAAACAAAACATCCAACGTTGATGTTGACATAAAATATGTTTATAATCTATTTTTCTATCTAAATATCTATAAATGTAGTGTTAAATAAACTGTAGGCTTTGCTGAAACAACTGAACACACATTTTGTCTGTTTTTTAGACAATGAGAGTGATAAAAAGATGATTTTGTACAGATGTTTCGGCAGTGAAAACCCACGGTTATTCTTAAGTGTTTACATTGCGTGCCTCAAAAGACTGCTATTGTATTCCGATTTCCCTATCGTGCCTAAATGTTACATCTCAATGTTTAAGACTCAGTGTTTTATGGAAATTCAAATCAGAAATAAAAATGACTAAATAATATGTGATTTTTATTTCGAACAAGCAAATGTCCTTTGGATTGCCTTAATTAGGCTATACATGTTTTTAAAGAAATAGTGAATGAGAAAATCAGTGAACCTTCTTAAGATGAGCCTGAAATTAGTAGATAACAAACTTATACAGTGAGTTTTAGGTTTAAAATCTGGTAAATAAAAAACATCGGAACAGAAAATAAATTCTTTATTCAATAATCAATAATATCCAATTTAATCAGATTAATTACACAATGTTTCGAAATAAAACTGCCGTCTCACAAAACACAATTCAATATTTTTTGTACAATTTGTTTTAAATTTAGAAAAAAAAATTGTTTTTAAAATCCATAAAATATAAATTTTATATTACTGTACTGAGATCTTAGTAAATAACATCACAATATTGTTTTATCAAAGAAAAAAAAACTTATCGAAGTTGCCATAAATGTAAAATAAAAGGAACAATTCGAGCGAATCAATTTTTTAATCTCAACATATTTTGCCAATGCAAAATTTCCTGGCAACCCAACTTTAAATATTAAGGGTAACAAAATATCGACAAAAAAATAAACGTCCTATAAAAAGGTTTTCTAAAAAATTTTTTTACAACTATATCAAAACCCTAATTTTACTTATTTACAATACACTGTCTGAATGAGGTAATGACATTTCTCTAATAAACTCTTTGTACTGTTTTCAAATTTATTTGTATTTTCTACATTAAACCACTCTAAAATATTAATATCATTATTTCTTCAATTATTTTCACGAATTGTCTACGCTTTTTTTACGTATATTATTTCGTAATAACATCTTATGCATGTAATAACTATAAATTTTATTTATTTATTAATATAACAATGGTTTGTTGGCACATCGCTGACTCGAATAATGTTTTCATGTTGTGTGAAGTAGATATCGTAAGGATCCAACACAATCCGTTCAAAAAAACCTATCACACAAGTTGACGGACGGCATTTTAGTGACTATTTTGTGGAAAAAAATGCGTTACGAATACTTATATCAAATAGATATATAAATCAAACGCAATTTTGTCACTACATCGATTTCCCTTCAAATAATATAAACAATAGTCCATAGTTCAACCTTTCAAAAGCTGCCTCATTTTTATTTCTTACGCGTTATTTGCATTGCTTATTTGCTGCTAAAATGCCCTTACAATATACAACACACAACAATGTTTAACCTAACACTAAGTTAAACTTATGGCTTTGTTCAAAAAACTAGACAATATTGTATCGCGCAGTACATTGCTACTTATCTAAAGTGAAAAAAAACCGAGATCCCTTATGTAAAGGACTCAAATTCTAAGTACATAAGTACTATAAAAACTTTCTAAAATATAACAATTAATCGAAATTCAAAATATTTGGCAGTTGTTGTTGAAAATTACATATTATTATGCACAGCTGCCGGTTTATATGATAAAGAATAATACTAGAAAATAAAACTTAAGCACATTTTATGCACTAAAACTATTTTAAAAAAAAAAGTTAAAAAATAAGCTATGCAAAATAAAAATTACAAAAATATCATATCTTTTCTTATCAATCACATTTCAAACCCATATTTGGTACAATTTGTGCGAAAAAAACACAAAAATGTATATAAATACTTTTTTTTTTATAATAAATAAAGAATACTTTCTTGTATCAAAAGGACCATCCCTAAATACTTTTTAAAGTTTTAGTATGGTTCATAAATAGTATTAAATAATCTGAAATATACAAGTAAATTGTACCAAAAATATACCATCGACATTTCCTGACTTCCCAAAGAAAAAATAACAAATTACTCTATGAAAGCAAATATTAAAAGAAAAAAAAAACAAATTACATTTCATATAAAGAGAAGTCCTACACATTTTGTTTCTCCAAAATATATTTATTAATTTTCTTACACAGATAGAAAATTAATCAGTCCGTCCTATGCATTTATAATGTGAAAGAGTTTCTCAAACAAAATTATATTAATGTTAAAAAGCATGAAAACAAAAGGCGTGTAAATCCGTAACTACAAATGATGGCACATTGTGAAAATATCAATACATTGAGTGTTGCCACTATTCAAACTATCATGTTAATTGTACCAAAAAAAATATTTTTAATCTCTGGTTAAAAAACGTCTTTTCAAGTCAGCTTACACAGTTTGTACTTGTTAAGTACAATTATAAAAATAACAGTTTTTTTCTTAGTGGCAACACTGTCGCCTCGGGCGATTCCATGTATTTTGAAAGCTTCCACTTATAATCTTATTTCAAAATGAGCTTCCACATACAACCTTGGATGAATATTTTATATATCAACGGCTGTAAAAAGTGGCAGTGACAGATATGACTTTTGTCACTTAAAAAAAGTATCACTTCGACCCTAAAAAAGGGTAAAGAATGCCGAGTCCCCCAGCTGTTTTAAGCGTTGCTATTTCCCGCTCGCTTTTTCCAGAAAGTCCATTTTCAATCTCAGCTCGATAAGGAAGAGTTGTTTCTGCAATGAGAATATCTCTTCCTTTTGTCTGAGCTCCATGTTTAATATTTTCATTTTGGCCTCGTGTTCCCATGTCGCGTGCTGTCTCTTGGCAGAGAAGTATAGTCTCTCCTCTTCCGTTGCGGTGCCGCAGTCGTGCTTTATTTGCTCATCAGTCTTCTCTTGACTCCTGTCGTGGCCATTTCTTCTCTTCTCGTCGTCGAGGTGACTTAAATTTAATGGAGTATTTGACATTTCGTTCAGTTTCTGCAGGAAATTTTGCTGTATCCTGGCTTGTTCCAGGGCTTGTAAGGGGTTGGCTAGTATATGGGGCGCGAGAGTTAGGGGGTTGATGGCCGCGTTTGGGCCTGTTTTGTGCGGAGGTGGTGTGGGCGAGGACTGGGGGATGATTTGAACCTGCGGCTCGAGGACATTAGGCATCGTGTCGTCGCTATCGTTCGTGCTCGAAAGTCGTCCGTTTGACATCTATTAACAAGATAACTATAATCAAACAAGGCTATATGAACCAATGAGACGCTGCTGTCGCGGTTGGTTCTGTCATATACATAAAACCTCCTTACACATAGAAAACGACATAAAAGAAAAAAATGATATGACAGGCACTGTAAAAAGAGGATTTTGTGACTTTGACGTTGACATGGGGGCGCTAGTGAGCTTTCATAATTTAGTTTTGACTATCGCCCGTCGGTTCAAATAACCTTGTTGGTGTACAACAGCTATACAATATGGTTTTGATACATCCGTGAAATTCTTTGTCTATGGGTTGTTACCACCTCCATCCCTTATTTACGCCCTACTAAGTATCTTCAGAAGAGTCCTTACAAGAAATAATTACACACGGAAATAATCATAGACTTACATTAACTGGTATGCAGTCGTCATCCTTGATGCTGTGTGAACCTTCCACGCTGGTGGTGGCCTCACCCTCTTCATCTAAATCAAACAGATATAAATATCACATCGACTAGATCAAACACAGCAAGAACACGGTTATGTTTTGTCAAGTAGCAGAAATGTGTTACCTTTGACATCTAGAGGGTGTATGCTCTGCCACAACATTCCGTCAAGGATGCCGGACGGCGCGTCGGGAGTGGGCTGCTGTAATCAATAATTCAAAAATAAATACTTACAAGTATTATAATACTATTAAATATTAATATTATATTAAAAAGGACATATAATATCTCTACATCTCTAATATTTTCAGCTAAATACAATAGACACAATTTATAACCAACGGACACATTGATAAATTGTCCCATCATATAAAACGCATTGTGCGAACTATATCGCAGTTAATTTTGCCCACGATGTTAATATTAGTAAAGTTACCTGTATTACCTGTGTGTCGTGTGCGCGCATTTTGCATTTCTTCTTGTAATTCTCGTACCACATCTTGACCTGCGCGGGAGTGCGCGGCCGCTCGCCGCCGCAACGCTTGTTCACCTCCTCGCAGATCGTCGACCACACCAGCTGCAACCAATCACCATTCATTACAGATTTAACAAATACCCTCATAAGGGTAAAATTTTAAGATTCCATGAATCATAAGAATTTTCCCGTATCAAATTTTAGATTGGGTTTGTTACCAAGCACAAAAGTACTACTTTACCAAAGAGTCTTGAACTTGGATACAGTTTATGTGCACCTTAACTTTGCACTGTATTTTTCCATGTACCTCCCTTTTGTACTAAATTGTGCAAATAAAAACTAATTAGATATTTATCAAACCAACCGTTACAATAACGCTCCTAAATCCACATGAAACAGGGTGCCAAATACACCCACGACTATGCAAAACTAATCTAGTTATAAACAAGTCAAGTTTCTATTTATGGTCTCGAAATTGAATATATAACGTATCAAAAGTTAAAAAAAAAAACAACAAAACCATATCGCTGTATAATTTGAACATTTTATAGGATACCAACAGGCGATCTATCTAGCCTAGATTTCGATCAGAGTTGAATTTAAAAGCTCGCATAGCCAGTATAACGACTTCTCACTTAGTCAAATGTATTAAAACTTACATAAGTCTGCGCGATTGATTTTTAACGATCAAAAACGAATTTTATTTGCTTAGAAACAAATAAATTGAGGCTATTTTTATCTATGAAAGTTTAAACAAACAACCTAACCGTAGCTATGAAAGGAAGATTTTTAAAAAAGTTACGTGACAAACCCGGCAAGTGTAGGTAATCATTTTAAATTCGATAAAAATTTTCGAAGGCTATTTGAAAGCGCCCGATTTTACTAAATGTATGATTAATGAGAATCTTAATATATCTTACTAATATAAAAGCGAATGTTTAAATGGATGGATGGATGGATATTTATTTGAAGGTATCTCCAGAACGGATGCATAGATCACGCTGAAATGTGGCATAGATGCAGGACATATAGGCTACTGATTTACTTTTGTTTTAATTCCGTGTCGGTCGTGGGCAACAGCTACATAATTGTAATTCATAAATGTTTGTAGTTTGTTGACGTTACCTGTTTGCTGCGGTTTGTGGCGTTGTTGGAGCGGCCCTGGCGCAACACGTCGCGGTGGCGCGCGATCAGCTCTAGCACGGTGCGCTTCTCCAGTTCGGTGAAGTTCTTGGAGCGCTCCTTGTGGCCGCGGCGCGCTCGGATCGCGCTCGCACCGCTCCTCGTAGACATATCACTCTGCAACACGCGTACAATCAGCTAACAGCCATCCCTCTCTTTCTTATTTGTATAAACGGAGATAACAATAATATTTTTTCCATGTAGGTAGTAGAAGTAGAAGTAGAAGGATTAAAATGTATCTTTTGTTGCGATCTTGGTATCCTCTCAAATTCACTACGCGACTCTTACCGTTTCCGTTCGATTCTAGCAACCTTATTTTGAATTAACATAAGCTAGTTTTAGATCTTTATCATGTGATAGTAATATTGCCGCTAGGCACGAACTATTTTTAAAAAGTTATATTGCCTATTAACCGTTATTTATATTTTATGCAAATATAGTAAAACAACGGCGCGTGGGGATAATTTAAAATAAGATTTCGACTCGGCCTTAATTTTGCGAGTTGTACAACTTCTTACAATTAGGCAAGTCAAACGTTTCTTTAACGTTAGTTAAATTGAAAACATGTGATTAAAACTATAATGAATCTTGTGTAACGTCAGTTAGATTACGTTTATTGAAGGCAACTTTAGCATATAAGTGTAAACTCAATAATAATTAACTAAAACACTAATAAGCTATGTATAACGTCTTAATGTTAGCCGGCGCTATAAAATTAAAACCGGATTGCTTTCCCAAGGTCCGAACGACAGTTAGTATTTCATATAAAACAACATATATATACCCAAGCTTATAACACTTAGATTTTAGATATCTTTACATATTATGTCTAGCCAGTCTATAAAACTATGCATAGAATAAACATTCGCATGTTGTAAGCAAACATAATTAACTAGAAATATACAAAAATAACCACGATAAAGAGATTCTACTTCTTATTATTCTTCTCAAAATTTTGAACGGTACTAATTTAATTCTTCTTCGGTACTCACAATTTTTGAGGTAGTCGCAAGGATTTAATTAACATTAGCGGTCTGCGACTTCGTCAGCGTAGGATTAAAGAAACGTAGCACAAGTGCTCACGTATATCAGCTACCTTCCTGATAAAGTCTAGTCCAGTCGTTCCTGAGATGTTATTAAATTAAAATGTAAACTATCAACATTTACTTCAATGTTATTTTCGTATATTTTTATTGTTAAAAACACGTGTACTTTGTATGTAATTCGGTACACAGTAAGTCGAAATATTTCAACAAGTTAAATGAAGGTTCATTTATGAAAAATAAGTGCACATATATTTTGTCAAGATTATTTAATAAAAATCATGTTACATAGGAACTGAGCATTTATTTATACTGTCAATTAATTATTATCACATTACAGCATAAATAACCAGATTTTACTTGATTACACTTAATTTTATTAGAAGAACGACATTTGACATTCGGCAGGCGACATTCCGATTTGTCTACCGGTAAGCGTTCGCTGGACGTTTGCATTTAGTTTTTGTCACCGCTCGGTCAAATTGAACTGAATTTATACATTAAATTAGACCGGTCTAATACTAAATAATATCTTACTAGTTACAAGCCGCACGACTCTGGCCTCTCTATGCTATCTAGCTTGTACAACACTTGCGGAAGCATCAGTGAAAATATTTAACGCGCGTCTAGCTAATTGGACGATTTAGGCTCTTATATTCTTGTATGTAATATAGTTTACCTTACAACATTTATAATAAAAAAAAATATGCTAACATCTTTCAAATTCCTTGACAAAGTTGTCCCGAGTGTCAAACATTTTTAAGTCTTAGTTTGAACACGCTCTTAACTCTGTACAGCTCTGGGAACTACCGTTAACATACATCGTTATGGAATAAACGTTACTCAAACGTTAAAACTTAATTAACAGCCTATATGTTCTTCCAGACTATGTTCTCCATCTATGACAAATTTCAGCGAGATTCGTTGAGCCCGTCAATAGACACGTAATAACAAACATTTATCCATCCGTCTTAACATTCGCATTTATAATATTAGTAAGTTAAATAAAAAGCAGCTTTTCAAGACATAAATTCGTTTAAAAAATTAAAAAAAAAACAGAATAAATAGTATCCTATGTCCGTCTCCTGGCTCTAAGCTACCTTCTCACCAATTTTCAGCCATATCGGTAAAGCCGTTCTTGAGTTATAAATAATGTAACTGACACTTTCTTTTATATATATATAAGATAGATAGAGGATATAAGAAATAAGATATGTATCACGCGAAGTTTTATCGAAACTTCAATGCACAAAACTGCGTACAATAGAAACGTAATCGTCAAAACATAGACAAATATTGTTATTTCTATCTAACATAAAATCAAGTTCAAGTACGTGGTAAGCTTTTTTTTTCTTTCTAGACTAAACATGTAAATTTTATAACTCGCCTGTATCTAAACCTGTTATTTCTAAATGTTAACATTATATTAAGGCCATCCTGTTTTGTTGTATACTCGTATTGCAAAAAGTTAATACTAGAATTCAATACAAATAAGTCCATTAGTTAAAATAAATTATAAAATGAGTCAGTTCTTGTCGCCAATCGGTTATATTTAAATGATTTAAGACTCACAAAATCATAACGTGGCAACAGAGATGGCTTTTTGTGCATTAGCATCGAAGCGTTTTCATAGAGAACTTCATAATTGTATGAAACTGATGCGCGACAAACACTTAGTGAAAATTACTGCCCGTTCTATACATTTTTGAAGTTCGTTATGGAATCGCTTCGCAACGAATACACTTTGTCTAACCCCGCTGGCAGTATATCTTTTGGTTTAGTATTTATCAAAAAATTAATAGAAAGAGGCGTTATTATTAAATAGCTTTTACATTTATCTATTATATTAGATACCTAATTGCCACAATTCCATTATTACACTCGCAAAATATATTACTTTTTTAATAATTTAACTTTTTGTCATTTATTTGCGTCAAAACAAATTCACATTTTCGATTGCATTCCGTAAAAATTACATAAATGAATGTATAAAATTAAAATGTGCTCGTAATTTAAAGCGTGCTATCTATATTATTATAATATTCATCAAGAATAATACAAAAACCACTGACATATTCGAACAAACAGCTGACATATAAAGAGCATTGCTAAAATGTATGTAAAATATTTCTTTAATGAGGATGGGATATAAACAGTAGACTTCCATTGCGGAAACATCTTCCCTGTATTTATCAGCCTTTATTTAATAAAAAAACTGAAACTAAATGAGCTTTCAAAATATACTTATAGTTTAAAGTTTTTTTTCTCTTTCCAACCCTTTCTAATTGACTTATTACCGAAGGCTATGGGTAAAATAATATTAGATGAACACCTCGTTCCTTCCTCCTTTCATGAAAACCATGTAAAGAGTCAAAAACCCCCGGTTCGATTAAACCTGACACCATCCGTAGTTTTATTTATTAATAAAATTAATTATAATAAAACTAGTCGGCAACTTAACATATTATGTTACTAAATATAGATGTGTTAGCACAATTTTATTAACGTTATCAAAAATTAACATGTATAATTAAATATTTTTAACTAAACACATTCACTATTCGCAAAAATTGCTTTTTTATATACATCCGGCATTCAAAAAAATAATGATTATTAAATGCAAAAAATATGCGAATAAATGAGCAAGATAAAAAATGCCGCAATTTAGAAAATTTTACGATTGCCAAGACAAATTTTCATTTGACATTAGCTGGATACTTTTCAACATTCATAGAGTTGGCTTCCACTGGCGACAGTTAAAAAAAAACATGTTGTGATATCTCTTATTCTCATTGTAAAGCTGAGTTAACAACATTCATACGACGAGCGGAAGGAACAGTGAGAGATGATCGACGGCCATGGTCATCACAACACCAGAGAAACTGCAGATAAGTTGCCGGTCTTTGATAAAATGTTGTGCACCACAGTGGAAACGGTTACAAACACAAATAAAAGCTCAAAAAATAATCTTAATCATCATCAGCTCATTAAAAAACCCCATTGAGAAGCTCCGAGCCTACCCTAAGTCTGGGGTGACTAGGCCATAGTCAACCACACTTACTCACATCTGTGAATTCATGGTAGATGAATAAATAGTAGGTGTTTTGTAGCTCAAATTTTGCCTTCAAAATAATTTAATATCCTCCTAAATATAGAGTCAACTTAACTCAAATCACAAAAGTATCCTTTTTGATTTAACGAGAAATTAACGGCCAAATCAAACTTTGTTCGTTAATTTATCGTATTTTTTAGGCCTAGCCTAGTCCAGTTTAGTATGCGAGATGTTAAATTGTGTAAATTAGGCAATTACCAGCCGAGATGTATTCGCCGCCGCTCAGCGCATCTAGATAAAAATCCGGCTTAGGTCTTTCATGTTAATTTCAATATTTGTATAATTAAATATGTTGAGAAGGTCATAAAAACGGTTTTTTAAATTTATTAATCTTAAAATTGTTTGTTAGATTTTTTGAATTTTAATACAATAAAAGTTTTTTTCTGTTAGTATTCCTAATTAAGAATCTAAAGTTGACACTAAAAGATAAATAAGAGGATGTGATTGCTATTACAGATTACACGAATAACCAGTCACAAAATCTATGGCATTTACTAAATGTTGTTATAAATCTTTAAAAATAGATTTAGAAAATAAAGAAAGTGTATAACGCAGCTTTAGTGCCTCGTCCGCAACAACCAATAAATGCTTTTAAATTTGTCCGCAACAAATTAGGCCGCTGACACACTTGTAACATACAAGTGGAATAGATTTTACGATGATAAATGTTACGATTGCATTTATACATTTATTTTTAAAATAATAAATAAGGTAACATAGATATTTTTTTGAGCCTTATGCGTATAACATTGTTATCTATCCCGTGTAAGATAGCTACGCGTTATTAAGAAATTAGTTATATATTCGTTGTATAAATTATTAAAAATATTCATAAGGCTTGCACTTGATCTTATTAAATATCGATATAATTTTTAATTTTTCATTAATGTTTTATATTATCTAAGTTAAAAAAAATTGAACGACACTGAAAATATTTGATAAATAGTGATTTGTCATTGATAAAAGATAACATAAGTTATTTGATTTAATTTCCTAGTTTAGAGCTTATTTTGGACTGTCGATGATGATAGTATATCGTAATATTTGCGAGCAAACAATTTTTATTCCATGGCACAGAAAATTTGTAGGTCTATTTCATATGACATGAAAAAAAAATATACACCCTAGTGTGGAATCGCCCTTAAATTGCTCTTAAAATTGACGCTGAAGAGCTCTTGTATGGTAATCTTAATTGCAATTTGAGTTTTGTTACTATATTCATAAGGTTGAATATCTTTTGCAAGTATACAATATTATACAAATAAAACTAGCACAATGTATGAAAAACATTTTTCAATTATGGTAACACAAAAATTGTTTAATATATCTGATTTATATCAAAACTTTTTTAAAAATAGATTTTTTAATCTCTGCTTATGCTTACCCCTAGGAACTATAATTTCTTATACCATCTATTTGGCAGGAATTATATGGAGCCCTTATTCAGTGATTTTTTAACAAATTCTAGTAATAATAATATTAATTCTAACAGCGGGTTTCAACTGCAGTAACACTTGCATAGTACATATTGCCATCTCTGTATTTTCAAAGAGAATGAAAGGGATGACAATATGATTCCTACAATGTGTTCTATTATGGTTAGGTTTTAATTTCTTGAAATGTCTAAATAACTAGTTAGTCTTGTTCACCATTTATATAAGAATTATAAATAGAAGTGAATATGTATTAGAAAAATAATGCATTTGAATTTTTTCTCCGATATAACTATAAAATATTATCAATTAAACATCATTTCCAAATGGAACTGGAAATACCAAGTTCACATAATAATATCAACACTCTTTTATTTTTAAAAGTCTGCCAAATAAACAGAAACTGGTTTATTTGAACTTTTTAGTGATTGAATTTGAACATTTTAGATTTTTATATAAAAATAAATGTTAATGTCAAAACTAAATCATGCAACAAAATTAAATGTTACTTACATTCCAATCCTTCCTTATTTGTTAAATAGATATTATTTTTTTGAATTCTTTTTAATAGTAATTATAATGTAATGTTCACCATCAATATCACAGCTGCAGTAATATTTAAAATTATGAGACCTCTTTCTTGTACTTCTAAGTGGCCAGTTTCATAAAAAAGAAAATTAAAACCGACTAACATCCGCGTTAAAAATGTATGTTACACAACAACAATACAAGATCACAATCACCAAAATGCCTGATTAAATTCTATAAAAATGATAACTGTGCTAAGTCAGTTAATATATTATCAAGCAGTTTAAAGCCAATCAAAGGTTTAAAAGTGAATTTTGTACTAATAGAGATAACGAAACAATTACGTACGATAAGTAACGACAGTTTTGGTGTATTAATGATGCTGAATGCCGAAAACTTCGGAATGAGCTGGGAGTAATGTATTCAGTCGCGATGCGAATCCTAATAAAATTATACACGGCACAGCGTCAAATTACGCGTCTCTCGCCTTTAGTTAAAAGGTTAACAGCCAATTGACTACAGTTTTTTTTAATCAGTTAAAAATAAGGATATTACGCGTAGTTTTTTAACACTCACCGACGCTAGCGAACCGCATTCCACCGTTCCCGAAGTGCGTGGGATCGTATTTTCATCTTGTTCACGTAATACCACTTCGCGAATTACTAATATTTTGTATCAAAATGCAAGGAGATATAAAAAATAGGATGAGCACTGTTACATTACAACTGTCAAAATTGAACTTCACTCAAGTGGCCGTGCCAAATACCATAGACAAGGTTGCATTTTAAAAATAGATTTAACTGATTCTACTCGCCACTAGATGGCTCTAGGAATTTTGTTCAAATTCAGTTACTACCTACTAACATTTTCAGTTATTAACATCTTTGTAAAATAACGTATTAGGGTAGTTCAATTTATCATTATTTTTAGGTTATAAAAAACGACATGGTAATAAAACAATTAAGCTGAGTGACAGTCAATATTTTATTGTCGTGAAAATAGTGTATCTGCAAATTTATTATATGAAAAATACAGTTATTGAATTGCATAGCCTATATTATGAATATCTATAATACAAATCGATTCGAAAATTAGTATGGGGGAGCAATGTTTCCAGCTAAAATTGTCTGGATGTATGGAGTAAGTAAAATGATTAAAAGTATTATAGACAAGTTGAATGGAAAAGAAGTAGAAACGCCGTAGATGTGCCAGGTATGTTGCTTTTTGAAATTATTATTGTTATAGTATTCATAGTTTTTTTACATTTGATTTAAAGACGTATATAAATGTCGACTGTCTACAATCAATCTGTTTTTAATTAATATGAATTGTGCCCGCGACTTCGTCGGCGTGAAATATTGTCCCCTGGTTGCATTATTAATTATTTATGCTAATTATTTCACAAATCATATTAAACTTACAAAACATTTTCATTAACCATATAAACTTCCATTTACTATTCCCGATAATTGTTTTGTACCCTTAAGGGTAAAACTTTTACAAGCTTTGATTGACATATATACTTATATTAAATGAACAGTCCAAAAAATAAGTGTTAATCATCTAGCAGTAAAAATGGCGATACTTCAAGCTCCCTTTCAACCAGAACTACCCATTTATCACATTAAAAAATAGACTACATTCTTTGACAGGATCTAGACTATCCATGTACTAAATTTATTTAAATCGGTTCAGCAAATTTGGCGTGCGACGACGTTACTTTCGCATTTAAAATATTGGTTAGGATTAGTAAATATATGTAGGTAGTCAATAAACTTTGATTTCAATGAACGTGTCGCGACATAGTATAAATAAATACATATCTACAGCGGCGACTATCTTGTGAATATGTAGCTTTGAAAGCACAGCGTTTATGAGCGACTGCTTTGAACCCCGTTGCCAAACTTGCCTTGTACTATGCTAAACGGCTAACGATACCATCATTATTGTCTATGACTGGAGCGTTCCAATTTCAAAATGCACTATGGAAAGTGAAAACCACCGAGCCAAATTATATCTTGCTTCTTATTAATATTATAAATAAGAATGTTTACATAGTTGGATGGATAGATGTTTGTTTGAACGTATCTCCAGAACGGATGAGCGGAGCTCGATGAAATTTGGCATAGATCTAGAACATAGTCTATTATTCATATTTTGCTTGATTTGGTTTTATATTGTGTGTGATGCACATCAAAAATGTGTTTGTGTGACATAAAGGCCAATTCCCTCGGGGTTATGTGCTGTTCCATTTAATTACTACGAACTCACTGTTGACCAGCAAAATTTGATTTTATTTAGACACACTGCCGCCCTAAGTGAAGATTTACTACGAAGATTCATTAAGCAATTGTTTAAGTAGTTACTGAAATAGTTTAAATATAATAACTACTTCTTGGTTTTCCTGTTCTAAGTGAGCACCATCCAAACATGTCGACGCGGAGTCTAAACAACAAATTGGTTCGATGACGCTGCACGACCGCCAAATAATGATATTTACATATTGTTTTGTCACTTTCCACTTTATTATTTATTAGTCTTTGTTTTTTTATGATCCGATATCTTAGCTGTTTATGATCGTTTGTTTGGTAATTTAGCGCGTCTCTAAATTGTATTGTCTTGTTTTACGGCCAGTCATGTCTATGAAATTGAGCTAGTTTTAATTAATGCTAATCGTGATTTTTTACGTTTATTTTATGGTATTTCAGACAACCATTGAACATTTTTAAGGCGATGATTTTTTATTTAATTTTAACTACATAAGTATATATTTAGGACTTGTTCATAATTAACTTTAGCGTAGGTTCTATACCATTGTTAGGGATATTAAAATATTAATATAGTTTTATTAAATTCATAGTACCGCTGGCGAGTCGCTGTAGAGCTGGACCTGTGGGAGCTACAAGCGATGGACTGTCAGGAAAAGGCGCAGCACAGACGACTTCCGCGATCCCTTGTATTGGAGGCCAATATCCACTTTGGCTCGCTGCGCCTGCGGAGTAAGCATGTGAGTAAATTCATAATCATCCATTTAAAAATAATTTTAAATTATTTTTTCCTTTAAAAATATCTAAGAAGAAATTACTGTAATACGTAGGTTTACATTACATGAAATCTCAGTGATGAAATTAAGGCCTCGTTTGAAATTCTTTATGGTCAAGAATGTAACAGTGTTAACATACAAAAATCCAATTAGACATTAAGTGCAAATCAATGTATTTTGACCTTTATTTCGAGGTACTAAGTGCGATTTTTCATATGATGGAACAGTTTGGGATGTTTCCTTGAAAAAGACAATAGATTTAATTCGCGGTAGAGTATACACACAATGGGTGGTTAAACATCAACTCCGGGATGTGTCTATGGTACTCAGACTAATAACCACTTCTATAATTGAACTTACATCGAACTGAGCGAAATATTTTATCACGTTTGTTAAAATTCTCGGTATTTATTTATTAGCAGGCATTAAGATTTTTCTGCGACTTTGTTGAATAAATATTTTGACAAAACTATTTATTTTTAACACGTTTTATCAACTTATTATTAATTAATATACAGTACTGGTAACATACAGTTCTGGTGTAGAGTTTATAGTAGGGGAGACGAAGCGTTGATTTTTGGATTTACTTGAGCGTGGCTAAAACTTAACTATAAATGTAATAGTTGTGTTATGATTAATCATAATCATATATTCTGTCAATATTTTTTCTCAAATTTGTTTCATACATCAAAGGTACATAGGCATCAACAAAACTACACTGTCAAATAATTTGTGAAACAAGTAAAGACAAAAAGTTCGTTTTTCGAACTTTGTCGTAATTGCACGTTCTATATATTTGTAATTCAATTGAAGTTTGTCTCGTTAAAATTAAATTAGTTTTCTGGTACTCGGGTAATGTGTTCTTGGTAATATTGCCTTTAATTCAATACCTGGTTTTTTCTCTTCCTAGTTCTGACGTTCTGGGAACTATCTAACTTAGACACAGGGTTGTCACAATGTAGTATAGATACGAATTGATATTATAATATATGCTCTTCTCAAGCAACAGTAGCCATCTTTAGTGTTACTTTTATGGGAGGCATTATGCCTGGTTTACATTATGCCAGTATAGTAGGACATACAACTGGCAAAATCTAAACACTGTCATTAGTGAGCCCATGTCAGACCAGCGCTACTGTCCTACTGTACTGGCATAACGTAAACTAGGAATTAAGTTAGTTAATCATTTTCAGTAGTCACTCACACTCAAGGAACCCCCTAATGAGACTGAAATCAGTCTGCGTGGACATCGGACTAAGCTTTAAGTGAGTGTTTTTTTTTATAATATCTTGCAAAGTTTGATTATCTGGTAGGATGCTTTATATCTCCGAGAAAAGAGGCGCTAGTAAAGCGCTCTTGTGTCGGAGGCCAAAACTCACTTTGGGTGTTAGGGATGTAAGTAAAGTTTAAATAACATTCATATTTTTGAGGTCATCCTCGGCCTATTTCTATTGATAGAGAAGCATCCCTATGCCGTATAACGATATAATTAATATTCACTGCGCGCTGCGATGATCGGCAATGATCAGTTTTATAGTTCATAACAGCTTAAATCAATACATGCTTTGGATGGCTTATTAATTTCTTACCGATCAACTGTGACTTCGTTACGTGATTGCAAAATCATCAAGGAAGTAGCTATATTTTGTTCCAATCCAAACTTGTATTGTTTTCAACAAAGATAAACATGAAAATTTATTACTGAATTCTAAAATTTTGCCAGTAAAAACTAATTTTTTACATAAATACTTCACTTTACTTCACTTCACTTAACAAAATAACTGAAAAAGTGAGATAGTCTATTGGCTGCCACCCATATATGGAAATAACGGTTATACTATTAAGTTTGACGTTAGATTTAAATATATATAAGTATATTAAGCTTAAGGGACAGATGTACTAGATGATTGAAAGACCCGGTATAGGTACTAACTCTATGATTTTCAGTGTTGGGCCACCAGAGATTATTGTGGCTGGAAAACATACGTTAAGATATATGAGTGTTATGTGCCAGTATTCCGCACAGACCTCCCACGTATTACGGTGAAGGTAAAAAAACTAGCGTATCGGTACCAACACTTCATACCGTTTTTTTAATGAATTGAATATTATGATAGTCACATTTTAGTGCGGATTTTCCTTTTAACATAGCGGGAAACTAACAAAGAGTCATACGTGCGTAGAGGCAGGATGACGCGCCTTCATTCCCGCCATGGACCCCATTAAAAGTCTGATATCCGTTAGTGCTTAAATTGTTTCTTGAAAAATTGATTATTAATCGTTATATAATGATGCGATTCGCATGCAGCACATTCGCGACACCAATCAACTAATGCACATATTGTTTTGTTTTTGCATACAATCGATTTGTGATCGTATTCGGAACGCAGCCGTCTGGTAATTGTCCGCCATTTTGAGAAGGTTCGCGCCATCGCTGGTCGCGGGTCGACATATTGTTGATGGTCTAATCAGTTATAACAATAACTTTTGGCGCTAATTAATTTATTGTTTATTGATTAGTTTCCTGTTGTGTCAGCTTGACCTTATTATTATTTAATTTGTTGGTTGTAAGTGAAGGTAATCAAAGAAGCAACAAAGTTGGAGTAACTATAGCTATCTGAAGTAACGTTAAGTACGTTAAGAGGGCTGAATATTGGAAAGAAAAGAATTTGAAGAAGCTTGTGGCGCCCTTTTAC